TAAGATTGCATATAAATTGTTCTTTCTAGCGAAAAATCTTGATGAAGAGGTTTGAAGTTCCGCTGTTCTTCTTTGAGCACTTTGTTTCCTCGGAACCTTTAACTTTTTTGTTTGGAAGACTGTTCATTTTTTTCAGAAGATCGTAAAGATCGTAAGCTTCGTGAATGGTATGCCTTCTTAGAATTTTTATCTTCTTTTTAAAAGTTATATCTTCGCAGAAAGTTTCAGAAATTCGCTGGAAATGTTTAAAAGGATATTAGAAGGTGGAACATTTAAAAATGTTCATTGAAAACGAATTATAAATAAACTACTGACTAATGCAATCCACTTGGTAATTTTCATTTATTTCCTTCTAATTTTCTAGAAAAACTCCGAAGTAGGAAAGAGATTAGCACGGAGTTTCTAAAAAAAATTCTCATCCTTTTTTTTGTCATTTCAATATGTTGAGCTCACAAAACCCAGAGGAATGAAACTTCAATAAAAGTACAAAAAATCCATTCCTTTTTTTCGAATTTTCCATTATTCTAACCTCGTGCGCGAAAATTCTGACGAAAGGAAAATATAATAAAACATGTAAAAATTTTCATTTTCTATTCCATTATTTTCTTCATCATTTTCTCTATTTTATATGATATATAAAAATGTAATATAATTAATAATTGAACAAAATTAATAATCCAACTATCTAATCATCACTTTGTTATTCATTCATATATTTTAATATACGAGCGTAATATTCATGTACATATTTTTACATACAAATCGATCAAAATATCTTGTGAACAACATAGTATATACAGGGTGGCTTACACGATTAAATCGTTTGATAATGCCTACTTTTCTATGATGTTACTTTTAGCAAGTAGAATATATATAATTGAGTCATGTCTACATTCAAAATATGAAAAAGAAAATATTAAAATATCGCATAAGTAAAATAAAAGTTATGAATTTAGGATATTTTAACTTTTATTTTATTTTACTTTTGTAATATAATATTTCTAACATCTTTTTTTTATTTTTCTAATAATGTTTCCAATAATCTATAATCTGACAATCTATAATTTTCTTTTTTATTTCTTTAGTAAAAATTCCTACAATTTCCCTAAATATCTCTGATATTTTCTTTAATCTCTCATTTTTCAAATAATATTTTCATATCATTATTCTTGTTATTATTATTATTATGTATTCGTATTCTTAATATTTGAAATATTTCCTTTTCCATACTCTTCTAAGCAATATTTCTACACCTGAAATATTTTCTTTCCTATTCCTCTAATAACACGTGTCTAATATTTTCTCGTGACTTCTTACCTAAGGAAAGGGGATAACACAACTGATCCCAGTTGCGCGACTCACCCTGTATACACGACAATTTCCAGCTCTTTTCTCTCTACACTCGTCCCACCGGCCCTCGAAATGAGGTTCGATGATTTCTCCCGTTGTCCCTTTGAGTGTTGCGCGGTTTGGAACACGTGAATTAAACGGATATATCGTGCCGCGCAACAATGAAGGCATGATAAATGGAGATTGAAGGGACAGAGCCCTATAGTTGTCTTGGCTCGTCTTTAGTCACCGCTTCTGCTGTTATTATGAGCCATTATGAGCCTCAAAGCTGGAGAATATGGAACAAGTTACTATATACAAGCGACTCGGTCTCATTGTTTCGAGGGCCGCTTTAAAATAATTGCTAAGCGCCATTGTCCACGCAACAATCACCACGCTCGTATCCATTACACTCGCAGAGGCGAGGTGTTGTCTCGCGCTAATCCTTCTTCGCTGAATCGAAAATTAAACGAGCAACTTTAATAGCGTTCTTTCTTTCGCCGCGATGGACAAAGTGGAGCGAGAGAGACAGAGAGAGAGAAGGAAAAATTAACGCAGAAGAAATGATATTCGCGCTACCATCTTGTAAATTAAGGTAGATAAGGAATTTCGTGTAATTTTGAAGCTTTTCTCTGAAGAATTGGACGTTTCACGAGGAGCATGCACAACGCTTGAAAAATTTTTCTCGTTCCTTGATAACTCGCAGCAGGATTTTTCTCTCGCGTACACAGTGTCTCGATTTTATGTTAAAAGTATTTATAGATAATAATGAAAATATTTATAGTTAATAAAATCAGAATGACAACGAAAGAAGAAACCATGGAGAAAGACAGAAATCGAGTGATTTAAAGAGTACAATTGCAGAATTGAAGATTTAAAAAAATTTAAAGGCACGAAACTTTCTTGAAAGTGAAACTTCTACGACGTTGTATAAGTAATATTGAATGATATATGAGCCGATACGGCACGACAACCGTTGTTGCCACTTTAATTACATCGACGGAGCGAAACTGCATTTCCCAGAAAATTAGACACGTTCGACGCGAAAAGTAGCTCACGTGTAACCCGTATAACCACGGAGAGCCACCGAACGATTGATCGTGGCCAATGAAATCGTCGGACCTCAGTGGCCAAATGATCTATTTATTTTGGTCTTCATCCCGACGATTTTACGCGAAAATGTGCAAATGAAGGCCGATATATTTCATTAAACAGAGTGTTTTCGAACTTGGTGGTGAGAAATTGAAAAAAGTAGAATAAAATTGAAATTTTTCCATTTAAGACTAGTTTCTCGAAGGAATTAAATTTGGAGATTTTGTCACTCACTATTTCATTTATTCATTAATTCTCTGGACTAGACAGGGATTCTTTTATTCGTTTTAGGAAATTAGAAAAAGAAGGTTTCTTAAATTCGAAGAAAATAAGAAAGAATATTTACATCGGATGCTAAAAACTTTCTTGAAATATTAATAGCTTTTTATTCGGTTGAAATGAAAGCAAAATGAACGGAAGTTGATAAAATTAACGAGAGCGAATTGAGGACCGCAACAATGTTGAACAATTAATTTCAATATCTTGGTTATTTCTTTTCGTACCACTTAGTAATTTCATCGAAATTACATCTTGTCAAGGCGAACGATATATCACTGTACTTTGACACTGATAACGAGTGACTTATGATTCTGTAATGGAAAAGAGAAAAAAGATAAGAAAGAAAGAAGATGAACGAGGAAGTATTTTTTCTTTCTTTGATATTTTATTGTTCACTTTTTTACTGATCAATGTAAAAATTCCTCGAACGAAGTATGAAATTTATTAAAAATTAAACATAGAAGGGAAAAAATATAGTGAGACTTAAAAGAAAACATAATATAGATTTTAAAAGCAAGAAATTTGTCTAATGTTTCTCGTAAATTTTCTATTACCTCAAGATCTGGAGATTTTGATGGAAAGTTTAATTGATTTAGAACATTCTGTAGCAATATACTTTGGTATCTCGATATTATTGAAAGATCTAAGAATTCGACAAATCTAAAATTTAGCTAAATTTTCTCCAAGTATCCGAATTTATATGTGATAGCATCAAGATAATTACAAGTTTTAATTCTATATATATTTCATCTTTAGATCTTCACACATGTTTCAAATATCACATACTATTGCCACCTTGGTTTCGATCATATTATTCTACGCTATTGCACGAACCTCGAATTTCTGTATTTTAACATTTTATACTTTTGCACACATTTTTTAAATGTGCATCCACTCTTAACTCTCCCGTTTCGCTATGAAAATTAAAAAAGAAAAACGTACACGAAAGGGAACGAAACGAGAACACAGAAATGCGAAACCGCGCGTTTCCCCGAGAATTATTTCAATCAAACGATTTTATTATCCCTTAATTTCATGGAAATTTAACCCGGTTGCCCGAGTCGTCAACATTTCCCCGGGACCGCGTTCAAGCAACGCAGAAATATTCCCCAACACTCGCACGGACTGTTCAAACAAATGAAACTCATTAAAATGGGGCCAAGGGGATCGTGTGTAATCGGCGGAACTCTACGAGCGGACCAAAGTCCGAGCTTGTGGAAATTCCACAAGAGCGGCGCGAGCATAAAGAAGCTCTTAAAACTACGGAAAACGTGGAGAGTCAAGAAGCAGGTATGCTGCTACTCTTGCTAGCTATGTTTCGTTGCCCGCGTCCAGTTGTATATACGGTCGGCACACACACACACCGCAATCGCATGAATTTCTGAGGGTCGCAGGGGACAAAATTCTGGAGAAGCCTCCCCTGCGCCGGGAATGTATTATTAAACAATTAATTACAATGGTCAGGACACTGCCTGCACCCTTCCCCTTCTACCCTCCACCCTCCCCCAACTCGTGCCGTGGTCCAGCCGGCTCGTTCTTGAATTATTTCGATGCAGACCATGTTAGCACTCTTCCACCAGTTGTAAATACAAAAGGGGTTGAAATTAATATATCGCGCATGCATATCGCGGTTAATATCGCGGGCTGATAAAAGTTTCATAATCTGTGGCGAAACGATCACGATTGAACCGACTGATTCAGAATGACTGGAAGGAGACGAATTTTCTTTTAAAGAAAGGTGTTCAAATTAATTTAGAATTATTTGTTGCAAACGTAAATTTGTAATATTAATATTGTTTCATTTTATTATATGATAGGTACTTACTTTCTTCTCTCATAAATGACCAAGTACACGCTAGTATTACTAAATCTAGGATTGTCAAAGCTCGTTGGTATCGCTAAATTTCTCGGCGAGGCTCGAGCAGACCCCTCGAGTGTAGCTCTCTCGAGAGGTACCCCAGCATTTCTCCGTTTTCCAATAAACGTGGGAACACCCGCTAAAACGAGAGTCCATCTAATCAAACACGGTGTGTCTCGCCGGTTTCAGGCAATAAACTGATCTGCGACTGCAAACTGGCATGGATCTGGGGTCTTAGGAACGAGACGAAGAACGTGAAGCTACGAGAGTCCCTGGAGGAGCTCACTTGCTTCCTCGAGAGTAATAACGCAACGCTGAAGATCAACAACGAGAACCTCGAGTGGAACGAGGCGCTCGAGATGGCACGTAACTCAGGTACATTTCGCGATACTTTACACGCTACTTTGCATTTCTGCTGTACTCACTTTGCTCTAACTTTCTCTTGATCATCCTGTTAGCCAGATTCTCACCTTCGATCTACTAACACCGTAGAATTCTAGTGAAAAGTTCTAATTCACGAAAGTACTCGAGCGTGTTTCTCGTCAATTTTGTAATTTCGCTACTTAAATGCCTCGATCGAGTTAACTCGAAGTACATTTGCTACGAACAAATGGCAGACGAGTAATCGCAAATTTCAAAACAATTTGTAATATTATCACGTTTCTGGCAATGTAATATTATAATAGAGATGACAAAAATAATTTATTATATTATAATTAATTATTGGCTGTATTAATAACGAACATTCACTAAAACGTCTTTAACGTTTATATATAGAACATATATATATATATTCATGTCGTATGCTAATGCATATTTTATTTGAAATAAAAAAAAATATTTTGTTTCAAAATTTGCTCAAAAACTGTACTCCGATATATACGCAGTCTGATCAAGAAGTGCTCTTACTACTGTGTTATATATATAATATTATTTTACACTGTCACGGCCACTTTCGAAATAGTTCTCCACTTCTAAAATGTAGAATTTTTGAAATTTTTTCCATGTAACTTCGGAAATTGATTTCTTTTTACTATATCTCTTCTTTTTTAAATACAGCTTGAAAATGCACTCAAACGTCGAATTTTTAAAATTAAATGCGTCACGATAAGTGAAATATTTTTTTTTCAAATTATAAAGGATTGATGTAATATTAACGCATATTCGAATATTTGAAAGCGAACTACATAATTCTGATCTGAAATAAAAATATAATGTTACTTTCTTATATTATTTAAAAATTTCATTTTGTTATTTCACTATTTGCTTACAGAGGTATTTTAATCTCAATAGAATTATAATAAATAGATAAAGTTTCAAACAAATCCTAAGTCACCAAACAAAATTCGAAATCAAATAAATTCCATTTTTTTTTTTTTTTTAATTCGAGCATTTCTACATTATTCACTATTGCATTTTACTTACAATATAAATCTTGCATGAAATCGGCTCTTCAAATAAACATTACTACCAGATCCTGTGGAAAAGTCGAAGCGATCGTCTTTCTCCTCCTCAAATAGCACCATAGAAACGAAACACACAACGCATTTGAAAAAACCATGAAAATGCGTGTATTACACTTCCTGGTCCCATTGTTACGCATATTATTCAGATGTTAATCGTTCGTCTTGGATGTTAACTCTCATTCGAGAGGAAGAAAAGAAAGAAAGAAAAAAAGAAACATTCCGGACAGCGGACTGAATTCATTCAAGTGCATTTCCCCCATTGTAACTAAAGAATAAGGGTTGCTTCTTGGAATCTTCCATTGTCTGCTGAATAATTAATAGGATGGCTCCGGTTTCTACATTGTTTTCAGAGTTCACAGCGAATGTTACTTCGTATGAACGTCTGGATTGAATTCTGATGATCAGAGTTATGAAAGAACGGAAGCGTTTCAACTCTTTTATTAATTGAATTCTCTTTAACGTATCGAATATCGAGGTGAAATTAATTATTCATAATGAAATTACGTTTATTCGAATGGTCTTGTGAAAAAGACAAAATGCGTTAAAATCGTCAATGTAGAACGAGTATTTTTAAACATTTTTATTATGTCACGTATACGTATAGGATATTGAACAGTAAGAAGTAATACTTGAACAAAAAATATCGAACAGAGAATACTTTGTGTACTTAAACAGACATTATAATGAGTATGTATTAAGAAAGAGAAGAAAAAATTATTATCGTTCCGGTTTACGACGTACTTAATTGAATCGCGGGAACACCTGTTTCACGTTGCAACTTCTTTCAATTGGCACAGATTCTGCTGGAATATTAACGATCAGCCATACAGTAAATCCTCAATTCATTAAGTTTGTTTTTCATCTGGTGCATCGTGCCATTTATTATTATTACCGGATGCAAACAAAGGTTTAAAAATGAAACGAAATACAAAAAAAACAACAGCGCTTGGAGACAAGAGAGCTTTTATTTTATTGTAAGCAATATCGGTAAATACCATATTAAATTTTGCTGTCTCGTTGCGATCCCGGTGTACGAATTATTTTCCAGGGGATGAAAATGCAATTAAAGGTGAACGATCAAATTAATTAATTAATTTTTAAAGCACCGAGTGAAATGTTTTGCTGAAAGTTTTCCTCCGATATACATCGAATCGCGCAGTTTTCCGGAATTAAAACTGGTAAAATTTTAAAGATGAGCTATCCATTCCGTCGTACGAAATCACGAGTAATCCTGGTGGATGATTAAATTTATCGATACCTTGAATGTTTAATCAGTACTCGGCCAATAAAAGAGAATCTCCGATATTCCACTCGTTTCTAGAGACCTTTGGTATTTCGAATTTCAAACTCTCTGTTCGATGATCGTATCTTTCGAAAGGAATATTTGGTTTCAATTTGATCAATACTACTCGAAAGTGCTTCTACAATTTTCTGTCGATCTGGTTTCAAACGAGATTTTCATTATCCCATTATTAAAAATCGACCGGTACAACTTATTGCACGCGCTTTCTAAAATGTAAGATATTGAACATTAACGTGACAGTGTATAATAATATAAAGATGAAAGAGTTTGAAAGGAAAATCGATACCGAAACGTGAACCGATATTACAAAGGGGTGAAAATATCTCTAGAACAAATTATGTTGAAAGAAATGGTCTTACGTTCAATAAAACTGATCTTGATAAAAATTTTCTTTCTCTCTTCGAATCTTAATTCGAAAAATTTTTGACCGCGACAACAAAGCTGATAACTTTTTGCTCTATTTTTCTATATTCCCCATTTCTTTCAGAAATTTCACGAATAATTTTTTTGTACGTCAGTTTGGAATCAGGACAGTGTCATTTCACTTTTAAAGCATTGAACTTGTTGCCATTGTAAAATAGAATAGCTGTTCGTTTGAAAAAATAGAATTCGAGTTTTCTTTTATTGTACTTTTTTTATTGAATATGCAACGTAAATTAATAATAAACTAGACAAAATCACGATAAGAGAGAATATTTCAACACGCGTTTCTCTGTATAAAAATGGAAAAACATGATTCATCCTCTCTGTCCTCTTGCATATACCTACATACGTTCACATACATTTATTTTTATAAATCTTGCTTACACAGCAGAATGTGTACAATTTCTATAATACTTTATTTTCTCTTCCCTTTGCGAAATCTTTTGTTTCAATTTTCTTTTGTCCTCCTCTTCCTGAATATTATTTTCACAGAAAATTGTTTCTGTTGTTTTCTTTCTCTTCTTCTTCTTTGCGAAGCTTACTTTTCTACTTCCACTTCGATTCTGTACCACGTTTCGGATTATTTACCATCGCACTGACAGAAAGTCTACAATTACACCACAGAATACAACACAGCGCTGCACTTTAAACAAAGCATACCCGTTCTCACTGCTCTCCATCGTAATACATAAAGAAAAAGGCAGGTAGAGAGACAGAGAGAGACAGAGAGAGAGAGAGAGAGAAAACGGCAACAATTTAGAACGCATTTACGACGACTGCACTCGATATGCATTTTGCTGGAATTTTCGATTCCCTCGTTGTTACAGAGGAATATCGCGCCGGCAGCTTGAGAGACGGGAGCATCGAGGACGACGACGCTTACTTGGGCGACGAGTACGAGAGTAAAGATGGATACGGGGATTCTTCCTCGAATTCCGATTTTCAGCCGAAGGTAAGATATACGTTTACCTTCCTAAATTTTTCTTTCTACCACCGTGGAAAACCGGGATCAATTTCACATCCTACCCCCGACCCTTCTACCACTACCTTCCATCGAATCTCACGCGAAATCTATCGTTATTATATTTTATGTTACATTTGTTGCGTGTCCCGCGATAATATCGCGCTACGTGTTGTTTGTACGTGACGCTGTCTTGTTTTTTCTTAGCTTCCTCTGGGAATTCGTGATGTCGCGATTCTCATGGAGAAACTCGACGAACTTCGAAATTTTTGTTTCCAATTCAATTTCTACAGCAGAAATTCATCTACATTTGCACGAAAGCATAGAGATATCTTCAATGTATCTTTGTACCGTTTCTCGATACAAAATTCGAGAAAAAATTTCCATCGCTTGCAATAAAAGTACATAATTTGTAATTTAACGATAATGTAAACAAGGAGGAAAAAGAATTAATAACTTCGACGTTGAAAAATAAAATTCGATTAATCGGGAGAAAATTACGAGTGAAATGTTGCATTAACGCAACGTGGATCTTTGATCGAGATTTCACTAACTTAAGCCCATTGTCTCTGATTAACCGTCGTGATGGACGAGAAACAAGAAAACACATGTGCGAACACATGCTCGTTTTCCTCACGCGAAAATAGCGCGGGAAAATATTCAAATCGATCTCAAATTAAATATCCGGGGTATCGCGATAAGATTAAAGCGAGAAATGCAAGGGACGTCCAACGGGATTAAAACAGTCGAGGGAAACCCTTTGGAATTTCGCGGAACGCCCCTCTCTTTTGCCAACATGATCACGTGAACCTCGCGCAGTCTGGTTATGAAACGCTGGTTATAAAGTTTCTTATCACGAAGATACCTTTGGTTTCGCCTGGTGTTTCGACGTGCGCGGAATTCCTCGCAGACGATTTTTTATTTAAATGACCGTGGCACGCGGATGAGCTTTGCCGGGCGTGACGATTTCTCCAAAAAAAAAAAAAAAAAAAAAAAAAAAA